TTTCCGTAAATAGGTATACTGATCAGAAATTTAAGCGGTTTTAAATGGTATGGTAGTCCGCGTAGGACCAAAATGGCACTGATGCAGAGTACCTTATATAGGTTGTGTTGCGAAAACTGCACTAAGAGGTCTTTTCGGAATTCAGTAGATGTCGCCGTAGCTGCTTTTGTTACGCTATCTACACACAATTATTTGAGGTGTATTACAGACCAGAGTTTCAGAAAAGTACATTAGTAAAGAGACGAATAAACAGTGGGGCAATTTTTAAATCCATTCATCGGGAATCATTGAAATCAGTCTAAGCAGAACCATTTTTCAAATGAGTTTCCACGCAACAAGGTAATCATGACCTCTTTTTTAACGCAAGCTAGCCAAATGGAATGCCGGAAAAAAATGGCAGAAATAGACTATTTTAAATTCGTGCTAATTTGTTGAACTATTTTTTGATTGGCAGTTGCTTTCCGCAATAACTTTCTATTGCTTCACTCTCTTCATCAATCAACCTCGTTCTCCTCCTCAACGAACCAATAAACGCCCCATTTATGCCTGACTGATGCGTGCGTTCATTTGGCAACACCACAAATGCCACCATTTAATTTACCACTTTTGATTAACTTCATCAGCTCGAAAACGTGCTGTTGTTGATTGCAGACGTTAGCAAACAAGCGAATGCATCAAGCGCAAGCAAAGGAAAGCAGAAGGTGAAGAAGACGACTGTGTACGGCAAGTAACCGCAACAATTTAAGCATGAATGACGTAGAAGCTGCTTTGTGAAAGACAGCAAACGAAATAATAATTCCTTGCGTTCTCCATGCATCTACCTTCGCTCGTGGTATGTTTACTGCTCTATTTCAGGCTTATTTCGCTGATTTGCTGATGCGTGGTGGAGATGAGGTGTAACTTCACGCACTCCCACTTTTGCCGCTTGCAGTGCTCTTACGCTTCAAACTGTTTCATTTTTCTATTTTTTTTTCTCCGTGCTTTACGCCTTAATTCTCTAAACTGTGCGACGTGATAGCCTGCATGCAATTGACATTTTTGCTGCTGAAAATTTACGCGCGCACACACACAGCTACATATGCCATACTGCTAAATGCACCTCTGTATTTGAAATATGGTAGTAGACGCAGCATGAATTCCCAGCGTTACTTGGCGCAAGCAATTGCTGCTGGTGTTGGTGTTCATTGAAGTGTTTAAAACGGTCCAAGTAGGAAATTCGTGAAGAAAAAAATTTGGAAAACTGGCAAAATAAAGATACTTCAAGTGGTAAAACAAAAATAGTAATTATTGTTTGTGTAGAAATATTTGCAAATAGGATTTCCATGTAATTTTTTACAAAATTACGTTGAATTTTTTCGAAAGAAAATATATTTTTTACATTTCAGTTAGTAAGTTTTTAATTTTGTATGCCCAGGTTCCCATAACTTTAACTTTTTGACGAGGAACACACAAGAATTTCAGCTTAACCATGAATAAATCACAATTTACAGTTCAAGCTGGAATTATTCAATATGAAAATATTGAAATTTTACTTTTTAAAGACAAGGAAGCCGTAGGGAAAATTTGAATTTGCAATACCAGTGCTGCCAAATAAGCTCACTTTTATTACGATTACAAATCAAAAAATTAAGTTATGCTATTTGCGTCTTCACACTTTTTGTTGGAAATTAGGCATTTTCGATCTCCAAGATTGCCATGTACTCATTAAAAAAATATAAATTTTCAACTACTTTGAAATAGTGCGTTTGCCTGATCGAGGTAACCGTCTATAACGAAATAATGAATTCAAGAATGGTTTGTTTTTTAAGAATTTTAATTTTTGGGGTTAGGGTTGCCATGTACATACATACATACTATTGAGTAAATTTCGAATACTTATCATGAAGACTGTTTTATGGCCAGGGTTGGCACTGAAGTGGGAAATTAATATTTAAAACTGTATATCTAAAGTTGTATACGCCTCAGTGAATTTTCGAATTTTTACTGGAAGTTCCAATTAAATTTTTAAAGATTATTGTGTATAATGATATAACTTTTTCTTTATTTTTAATAATTTAATATTGTAGAAATTGTGCGTATTTCAAATAAAGATTCTAAAAATTTTTATTTTTTGGTTGGGGTTACAATTATTCATAAAATAATAAATTTCAAAGACACTAATTTCCAAAGTCAATTTAATTTCAAAATTTAATTTAAAAAAATAGTTTTGAACAAACTTATATTTTTCCTTGAAATATTTGTGAGCAGGGTTGCCATATGCATATTTGCTTCGGATAAAACATTTCAATTTGAATACGTTTATATATGCACTGTCTTACGATTGATTTTTTTCGATTTATATTTTTAAAACCAGAGTTGCCATATGAGCAACTAACTTTTTCTCAAAAAAAATCATACATCCCTCCAACAAAACACTGCAACTCTTTTTGGACCCCAGCAAAATATTTTTCTCAAATCATCATCAACTACAACTGTGAAACTCCTATCCAAAATTTCCTCTAGAGTATGCGCTTCGCATCCACGCAGCAAGAAAAAGTCACGATAAAACCAAGAAATCGTCGGTTCACTTGCCGCTGCAGTCACATCCTATTCGCTCGTTTATTACCTGCCCCTTGCATTTATGCCCGCATTTCGCACACATAACAAGCTCTAGAAAATCCACAATCCTTACACAGCCTGCATAGGAAAAGCGAATGCAATGGCAAAGGAAGTAAGAAAACTGCAACACAGGAGACATACAAAGTGTTGACTGCTAAAGAAAAAAAACACAAAAAAAGTGAAGAAATTGTCGTTGTTGGGCGGATTCATGGGTTGAGTGCACGCTGGGCGTATGTATATGAGGGGCTTTTAAATATGCGTTTGCATATATGTGCCACAACAACGGAAATGTGCAAATTCGAATTATGGTGCTGGAAATGTTGGCAATGACAAAACTGGAAATTAATTTAAAACTTATTTTATTTTTGTTCGACTTTGTGATTGTGGAAAAATCAATGCGAAAAGCGTAGTGAGAGCTGGCGAAGAATGATGTGAGTGGATTTGAGTGAAGTGGGAATATTGCTGTAAAAATCGACGACTTTAGTCAGGATAAAAAATGACTGCTCGGACTGTTTTCTATTTGAATAAATACTTCTAGCAGTTGAGTATATTACTTTCCTAATCGAACGCCAATGACAAAACTCATCGCATAGCAAATTATATTTAACTGCTGCGCCTAAAATTGTGGCACAAATACTTGACTTCAAGCGCTCTAATAATAACAATTTTCGATGTTATTTATATGACCTATGTATTTATCAAGTTATCGACATTTATTTAAACTATCAATATTTATCGAGTTGACGAAATTAATCGAGTTACGTAATATATTTATTTCTTTGAACTAATGAAATTATAGACATTTATTAATGTATCGAGATTTGTTGATATCTAGTTAACGAAATGTCGGTTTATAGAATTGAAGTTTTTGGAATTTTCAAAGTATAACGAATTATCAAAATTTCTGGACTTGTATAAATTTATCGAGTTGTCACTACTTATCGATTTATCGAGCTACCAGAGTGGAAAGAGTTATCGAAATTCGTCTACAGATGTCGTAATTTACGGAACTATCTGAATTAATCGAGTTATCGAAATTTATAGAGTTATCCAAAGTTTATCGAGTTATCTATTAACAATATATAGAGATTTGTAAATTTTTGTCGTAATTTACGGAGCTATCTGAATTAATCGAGTTATCGAAATTTATAGAGTTATCCAAAGTTTATCGAGTTATGTATTAACAATATATATAGATTTGTAAATTTTTGGGTTATCGTAATTTATCGGAAACACACAGTTGCGGTTTATTGAGAAATTGTCAGCCATATGTAATGCAAATGAATTGTTCAAAAAAAACACTAGATATATGGTCGAATATTGGCTATAACTGGCACTCCTAGTACTTATTATTTCATTTATTAGGACATTTATGAAAAGTATAAAAATATTTTTGTATACGCAACTCAAAATATTTTTTGAGTAAATGATCCTGTCTCCCAATACTCCTGATGTCGTTTTGACTAGGCCGTTTGGGTAGCTTGCTGCCTTCACCGATATGCCACAAAAAGGCTAAAGAACCAACTCGTGAGGTGGCACAAATTTGATCCATGGTCCAGCGCCCTTATTCATCTGAAGCGCTTTCAATTTTGGTAGAGACTACACCCGCAATCGCCGAGAGTACGAAGAAATCGAGATTGGTTAGCATTTACTCTGCCATTATCCAGCCATATTTAATCTGAGCCTGCTGTGAATACACCAATACTTTTTCTGCAGTGTTTAAGGTCGACTAAAATTGGCGATTTTTACCGCTTTATAACTCTAACTAATGGGTTCCAACAATGAACGAAAATGCCATCACAATGCGCCAAATGGGATTTCAGTATGTCGTCATCTGGGATCTATGTAGGTGGAGGCCAGGCCCTATAGATTTACAACGCAACCCAAGCTGCCCAGTAATAGTTGGCAACAAGATTCTTTCATTCGCTCATTCCTTCATCGACCCTTTTTTCACTTTAAACAGCACACGAAATTATATTTTAGGTGCAATTTAGCTCGTATGCCCAAAAGCTTCTTTTATGATTTCTGCTGATAAATCTTTTACACGTTTTCAAATATTCCACTTCTGAGTTATATACGTTTTTAACTGCATTGGTAGCTAGTCTAGTAGCTAGATGCGCAAACTTCCATAAAGATGTTTTTTTTTCTAATAGCTGTCGTCATGAGAAAGCTACTAATTAAAGCCAATTGTCGTCCTGAGTCTCCTTAATACTGTAAGTGCCTCCATTTGCGTAATGACTTCAATACCATGGGGAGGAGCACGGCCGAGCGCTTAAACAAAATGTGTATTAAAGCTAGCTCTGATACTATCAATGCACAATATGTTTTTCTGTTCTATTACTACTTGAATAAAATTAAAAATTAGTATAATGCCCTCCTGTTTACTTTTCTTATCATTACAGCGCAGCCCATATGTTTATTTCCTCAATTGTGGCACGCTGCGTAATCGATTCATATTGCGCTTGAACGAGTCACGTGATTTGGTGGAGCGTGCGCGCGAGTCAATTTACTTAATTCAACGGTAAGTGCAATTAAATCAGCAAAAATATAAAAAAGTGAATTGAGTAGAATAAGAAAACTATCACCGTAAAAAATGTCTATGTGGCTTCTAAAACCATTCATATGTAGTTCAAATTGAATAAACCAGTTGCGAATTACAAAACAATAAGTTTTAACCAGTAGTTCATGACATTGCGATCTTTCTCTCTTCTCCTCCATTTTCACTTTTTAATTTGTCATTCTTTTTCTAATTCTTTCTCTTTCCACAAACAATACATAATTTAAACAACTACTCAGCATGAGCCAAGAGACATATCCACGCATCGATGTGCACAAAACGCTCGAGGCCATGGAAAATGATCTGGAGGAGACGAAACGCAATCTGACCGTACTCTCAGCGACGCTCGATCGACGCGCTATCGATCGTCATTATGCCGACGCATTACGCGGCCTTTGTGGTGGCGGCTTGCTCGGTCTGAGCCTAATGATGGTCGCCGGCTTGTTAACCTCCTTTCTGCTCACCATATTGGTGTACGCCGATTCGCATGCTTGGATCTACTTGAGCAAACGGTAAGTAGAAGAATGTATATAAAATATTTAATTTGCACGCATGTGTACTTGTACTAATGTGTAATTTTTGTTCTTGTTTTTATGCTCTGTTTTCTTTAACATTTTCTTGTACGCTTCATTGTCATATATCTCCACTTTTTAACTTTGCTCTCTTTCACTTTCATTTTCTTGTTCCTACACTGACGGCAACACTTTTCTGCTGCTCTGTTTTATACTTTCTCTCTTTTTACTCACTCACTTTCTCTTTCGCTCTCTATCTCACTCTTCTATCCGTTGTATGCTTCATTTCTTCTTCTTTTGTGTTCTTCTTCTTCTCCTATTTCTTTTCTCACTCTTTAGACCCAGCTCACTGGATATTGACAAATCCGAAACCACGCCGCTTTTCCCATCGAATGCACCGAGCGCGAGCATATCACCCACCGCACCCCTTCATACGGGCACCATGAATCGCACCCTACCGCATCATCAACAGTCGGCGTCGCATGGCTTGAGCGTCGGCAGTGGTATTACTGGCGGTATTGGCAGCAGCGGCACGCTTGGTTCGCATCGTAATGGCACCGCCGGAATCAGAACAGGGTTCGTCGCATCATCATCACCTACAACAACTACAACCACACTACAATACAACAATCATCCACATAGAACTAACGCTAGCGCAGGCATTGGTGGTGTTGGCCACACTGGCACTGGCTCTGGCATATTGAGCGGCCGTTTGACGATTGGCGGCAGTGCCGGTGGCAAGGCATCACCTTCGCCACCGCCGGGTTATGATGTTGTGGTGCATGGCACAAGGCATGGCTTTTATTAATTTTATTTTCTTAATTTCAATTTTCATTTTCCCTTTATTTAATATAATTTTTTTTCTCACTTTACTTACATACACTTAATTGCATTAATTTCATTGCCACTCTAATCGTGTTTATTTAAATTTATTAAGTGAATTGGGCATTTTATTTAATATATTACGTTTTTTTTTATGAAATTTACTGCAGTAGTTTTGTAGTTTTTTTTTCACCGAAAATAGTAGCAAGAATTCGTACTCAATTTTTTTTATATTTTTTTACATAATTGCTGCCGCACAGTGCGCTTAAATGGACGCAAATATTGTGTGAAAAATTTGTCAAATCGTCTGCGAAAAAAATATATTTTTTCTATTTAACAAACAATATTAGTTTTTACACAATTTTTTATTACAAGTTTTTCTAACAATACTATACTTTTTTTATATTTTTTTCTCGCTTCAATTTATTAAAGAAATATATGGCTTAAAAAAATTAAAGCAACAACAAATATTTGTTCACAATTTTTTATTTTTGCAAAAAAAGGGAGATATTTTTTAATTTTTTGGATATCATAATTTTCACATATTTAAACAAAACATTTTATTAAAATTTATTTTCTATTCGATTAAAACATTATAATAAAGAAAATACTTTAAATGTAATTTATAGGCATGAACTTTTTATTTGAACTCTGTTCAGTTGGAAAAATTAGGACCTTTTTTAAATACTTAATAACAAAAAAAAACATGTTTTACATTCAGTGCGTTTTTAGGTTTTATGCAAATTAGATTTAAATAATTTGATAGTACATAACTTTTTACATTTCTTTTTTTCGGTATTTGGTAAAAGAATATTTTTTTTAACTTATTTTGCCAGTATCAGTAATGAAGGTATTAAAGTACTAAAAAGGTAACAAGTAACTATTAAGCAAAAAATAGAACCGAATCCACTTCTCATATAAAAATTTATTCATGATTCAATAATCGGATCTAAATTAGTATGGCACCACCCTTGAGGTACCACCTTTCCGATAAAAAAATAATTATCGAAATCGGTACATGTGGTCCAAAGTTATGCGGTAACACAAATAGAAAATTAAAAAATATTCCGATGAATTGATAACACGATCCTTTTTTGAAGTCGGTTAAAAAAAATTTATGCTCATGAAATTTTGTTTTTTCTACACAAAAAAAATATACTTTCGCGAGAATCTTAAATGTTTGTATCGCATGAAATTGTACTTTGCTCAACAACAAAATTTTTTTTAATTTTTTAGTTTTTTTTTTAATTATTTTAATTATTCTTTCATCAACTTTTATGCGAGTTAGTTTTGATGGTTACAGATTAGACTAAAATAATATTTTTGTAGTATTTTTTCAGTTTTTTCTTTTCATAAAATTTCAAGAAAAATATTTTTTGAGTTGTATTTAAAAAAAAAGTATTCTTCAGAGCAAAATTTTTCTTTTTTACTCATAACTGTTTCATGAAATATTTTTTAGTTTTGCTCATGAAATTTTATTATTTCTTCATCATAAGTTTTTACGTAAACCAATATTACAGTTACTTTTTAAGCATACATATTAAACTAAAATAATCATTTTATAACCCCAATATTTTTTGAGTTTTTGTTTTAATAAAATAAAAAAAAAACTTACTTAATTTTACTTTCGATAGGTTGAACTAAAACCAGGAACCTACCACTAGATCTAAGATTCTTATTTTTAGATAATAGCAAAATCGTTATTTTTTTGATTTTTTTTTTTCAAACAAGAAGAATCGTTATTTTTAATTTTACTTTTTCGATCAAGAATAATCGTTAAATTTCGATTTAATTTTTTTCGATCAAAAATAATCGCTGAATTTGGACTTGAAATTTTTCTATTTTTAACCGTTAGAATGGATAATGCATTTTGTTTATATATGTACATGTATATTGTATATTCTGATAGTTCAAAGCTAACCATCAGGATTTTGCTTGGCGGTCTTAATATTCTGCACATTGCTATATTTTATTCAAGCACAATGATTTTGTATTTATTTTTTCGCATACATTTATTTGTGTTGAATTTTTTTTACTTTATTTTTTAGTTTAAAAACCCAGATTTAAATTTAGTCTAATTCTTCTTCTTCTTCTTATTTGGCGCTGTAACCGCCTAAGCGATTTTGGCCGAGTCCAAAACAGCACGCCAGTCATTTCTCTTCTGTGCTAACTGACGCCAATTGAAAATGCCAAGTGAAGCCAAGTCCTTCTCCACCTGGTCTTTCCAACGCAGAGGAGGCCTTCCTCTTCCTCTGTT